TATATATATATATATATATATAGGATAAGCTAGTAGCTATTATGAAGGATGTATTTTTTGTCTTTATATATATATATATATATTGTGTAATTCTCTATCATAAATCGCACAGTAGTTGTGGCTAAGGCTTTCTATCTGTGTTTTTTGTTTTGTTTTGTTTTTTTGTATAATGGAGTAGTAAATGTAATTTTACTAAACTCCACTGGAACGTCCAAGAATGGGAGTTTTTTACTAAGTTCATAGGAAAAGATGAGGACAGATTTTTTTTTCGAATGTAGTTTAAGATTATAGCTCACCTTTAAGCAGATGATAACTTTATGAGTTTAGCCACACTGACATGTACTTATCTACTAAATTATGTGGAGTAGTGGATAGTGGCTCGTATTGAGGAATCGGAGAGCCGAGTTCCAATTCCATTACATTCACTTACCTCCTAATACCCTTGGAAAAAGTATGAATCCTCTTCTTCTCCCCCCCCCACAACTATGGGGACCTTGTGACACGTAGTGCACCAGGTCTCTGTATTCGGTCCTTCAAAGAGTGTGGTTGATTCTGCACAAAGCTGTCACCACTATAATCAAATCGTACGTGCTGGCTGTCAGATTCTAAGAACTGAGCTGCTTGACTCTCATACGTTGAAAACGATGGGAGATTCCACCATATATATATATAAGAATGTTTTAATTTAAAAACACAGTCAGCATGTTTTGGTCGTGTTCATAATCGAAATTATTGAGAGGTGGTTTCTTCATTTTTATTGTTAATGCTTCCATAATTTTTAATGGTTTTATGTAGGTAAGTCTCCGTGTGTATTTAAATGGATCCTAATGTACCTATGATTCGAAAGATGCATAATAACTCTTCTTGGTAATTGTATGCCCGATGTAATTGTTATTCATGAATATGTTTCCGTCAGGCTGTAAATTCATATGTGTGTGTGTGTGTGTGTGTGTGTGTGTGTGTGTGTGTGTGTGTGTGTGTGTGTGTTCTCTGTAGTTTGGATCTCGCTAATGTGTTTTTAACGATGAAGTTCGTCGTTTTAAATTTTT